TCAACCGGTCGACCGGTGACAGAGCAGTGCAACACTACCGGTGTCAACCGGTAGTGTGCACACCGGTCGACCGGTCAGCCTACAGTCCGGTTGACCGCATAGGTCGACCGGTTTCCATGTGATCCGGTCGACCGCACTGGTCGACCAGTGGAATCAATTGTGCGAGAGAAGCTCACGGAAATCAATCCAAAACCTGCAAATCCAGTCCCAAATCGAGATATAAGATCTCCAATTTCTACTCTAGTTTTACTCAAAAACCATCAAAATCCGGTTTGAACCAAAAATAAGTTTTGAAATTCAAAAACTTGAGATTCAAGAGAGGTTCTTTCAGTAATCTTACCTCGAATCATTCTCTTGACATTGAAAACACTTTGAAACTCGTATTTGGCTCAAACTCCGTTTGATTTGGGACAAAAATGAGAGAGAGAGAGAGAGTGTGAGAGAGAGCACGGGAGAGTGAGAGTGAAGGAGAGATAGAGTGCACGGGAAAGAAAGGAAAAGAAAGAAGAAAGGAAAAGAAAAGAAAAAGAAAAGAAAAGGAAAAAGAAAAGAAAATGACATGTGTACAATGTTTTAAAAGAACAGTCTAGAAATGCGCCCATACACACTTCTGGTTTAAAATAAATTATTGAGAATAATTTAAATACCTTGGAACTATTTAAACTCACACGTGTCAGAAACATTTATTAATTAAACTCAATTAATAATCCAGATTAGGCACACTAATAATCTCAATTAATTCTTCATGGTGTTACAAAACACTTGTTCAAATTTTATTTTTTGTTTAGATCTTTACACTACCAAACACCAGTTTGAACTACAAAAACCCATATATAGATTCAAATCTAAAGTTTCAAACTCACACAATTTGAATCCGCTAAGTAAACGGGCCAATATTTGTTGTATTCCACGTCTTTTTAGATTATATATTGGAGAAGAAAAGAGAAGAGAATAAGGGATAAGGAAAAGAAGAATACTATGTGTCTGGATAGGGTTAAATTCTCACAATGCTACGTGTCCAAATAGGGTTAAATTATCACTCTCTCATAAAAAAAGGGCTCCACAAGTGGGTCCCTGTTAGTCTCATAAGTAGGGCCCACTCTTTATGAGAGAATGGGGATATATACTAATAGGGTAAGAAAACAAATAACTCTTAAAATGTATGAATATAAATTTTTACTTTTTATTTTTGATTAATATCTTTTCTAGTTAAATAATTATATTAGTAAAAAAATATTAATTAAAAGTAAGATATAAGAATCCAGATTTCAGACTAATAGATTAGGTTAAGTTTAATAATTTTATCTATTCTCACCGCCACGTTATAGAACATTTTAAAAAAAAAAAACTTTAAAAACCAAAAAAAAAGAAAAAATTTGACTAATATCTTTTAAAATACATGAGTCTTAAATTTTATATCTTATTCTTAATTAATACATTTTAATTAAATAATTATATTAATAAAAAATAAAGAGTAAAAATTTAGACAAGAGTTTAATAATTTTCTTTAAAAAAAATGAAAAAAGATAAAAGAAAAAGAAAAGTAAATTGGTCAGTGTTAGCGAGAATGCTGCAAAAGCGGTGAGACAGTGGATATTTTCCATGTTGGCATGGCACATTCTCTTTCTCCAGACACCCGCGCCCTCTCCTCGGTTTCCGTTATATATCGAACCACCTGGTTCGTTAATCCGAACCTCAGCCTCGGGCTCTTCGCCGTTATAAACGGGTCAGATTTCATCACCGTTATAAACGGCTCAGATTTCATAACCATTCATTTCTCTCTGCAAACCCCATACATTACTCAAGCTCACTCTCTCTCTCTCTCTCGTTACTTTTCCATTTTGTTTGGGCCGTGTCATCGTTGTGCGGAGATCCATGGCGGAACACGCAGGCGAGCCGGAGTCTTTGATTGAGAAGATCGCCGATAAGATCCACGGCCACGATTCGTCGTCGTCATCAGATTCCGACGATGACAAGCCGTCCAAGGTCGAAGAAGTTCAAGCCAAGATTTTCAGGCTCTTCGGTAGAGAAAAACCAATCCACAAGGTCTTGGGAGGCGGAAAACGTAATTTCGTCTTTTCTCTCGATTCAAATCCGCTCATATAATCAATCATCTTTTGAGTAAATGTGTATCTATAGATGTATCAGCGTTGCGTTATACTTTCATACATTTAACTTTTTATTTTTATTTTTTGGATCTGATGGAAAAATGAAACCTTCAAAAGTTTTCAATGAATCGAAACGACTTCCACTGCGATGATTTTTTTTTGTTTGCTCACATTTCTTACGCTTCTGATTATCAAGGAGATATTCTGTTTGATTGGCTTTTCTGTTTACTCATCGTCGTATTTATCTGCTTCGGTCTTGCTTATCTTGTAATGCAATTGTTAGCAAGAACGAAAGGTCGGCAAAGGAAATGAATTGATTAAACTTTTGGGATTTTTCAGATCTCGCATAGTTTTGCTGGTATTTAAGATCAATTTGGATCCATGTTCTAAAATAATTATCAGAGTTGGTCCATCAGCTAGTTTGAGATGGTTTCCTAGTTTTATTCATGTCATTGTGGTATTTTAGATTTAGATTAAGAATGCAATTTGTGGTTCAGGGTGTGAAAGATGTTATTTTGAAAGTGTTTTCTTTTTCCCCTTTTTTAGATTCATATGTTTGGTCGGAGGATTCATATTATGATTTAAATCATGTTCATGGTTTGCTACAATGTTTTCTCTCATAAAAAATACACGTAAATAAAAAATGATTTTAATATCATGATTATAATCCATGAACCAAACGTCTCCAATTCTTGCGATTGTTTCAACTAAATTTCTGGTTGGGTTTGGATCCACAATTCTGGTTGTTTATAATTAGGTGAAGTACGGGTAGGATGAAATAGAGTTGATTTGTTTATTTTCGTCTCTGATAACTGCATTCTAATTTCTAAATCATGCAATGGTGAAAACTTTGAGATTATCATTAAACATCGTACGACATTTCTCTCTGTCCTTTTTAGGTGGTTTTAGTGGTTAGCAATAGAATTTGAAATGTGAAATAGGCCATTGTGTTTTTCTCTCATACTCTCGCTTTTGACTTGGGGAGTTAAGAACTTGCACATATATATGGCTGACTAGTTCATCTATCACACAGACACACACCAAATAGTTCCGGGTTGTGCCCTATATTATTAATTCTCACTAGGAAAAAATGCATCCCTGGCATTACTTGTTCTCCATTTGAAAGATACAACAATTGAATAAAATGTTGTAGAGTTGTTCAGTAATACGATCCCTGATAAGTTTCAAAGGAAAGAGCTTGGAATAACCGTATACTTTTATTTTTGTAATGCTTAGTATCCTACGATCAAATATCATTTATTTGTGTGAAATCTTTGCTTGCAGCTGCGGATGTTTTCCTATGGAGGAACAAGAAACTTTCTGCTGGCGTGCTTGGTGGGGCCACGATATTGTGGGTCCTCTTTGAGTTGCTTGAATATCATTTAATCACATTGGTCTGCCATATACTGATACTTTCGCTGGCTCTTCTTTTCCTGTGGTCCAATGCCTCCACTTTGATCAACAAGTATATTATTGCCATTTAATGTTTCCTTTATCTTCTGGTAAAGTTTCCCATGGTTTTGACCTTATTCTGTTCTAAACTAGGTCTCCACCGCAAATACCGGAAGTCCGAATTCCGGAGAAAATTGTCCTCGAGGTTGCTTCGGTGCTGAGAGCTGAAGTAAATTATGCATTGGCTGTTTTGAGAAATATTGCATCGGGGAAGGAGTTGAAGAAATTTCTTGGTGTATGTTGATTTTCACCTCTTTTCTTTGCATTTTATTTAAAGTTTAGTGTAGCATAGGAGCTCTTCTACCAGAACGATTCATTGCTCTCCACAGACACATGAAAACAGTAATATTACCATTTTTTGCCAAGACGGTACATGGTCAATGGGTTGGAGTTGTTGGTGGTTTCCCACTTATTAGGAAACTTTTTTCCTCTTTATTTTCAGATTATTGCTGGCTTGTGGGTTCTGTCCGTTGTTGGGAACTGGTGCAACTTCCTCACCCTGTTCTACATAGGTAAGGATTTTTTAACGTTGTTGGTAATATTTGTGAATAATATCTATCTGTTAGACTTTGACACCAATTTATTATTTGAAAAAAAACAGCGTTTGTCGTGCTACACACGGTACCGGTGCTTTATGAGAAGTATGAAGATCAGGTTGATGCACTTTCTGAGAGAGCAACAATTGAGATCAAGAAGCAGTATGTAGTTTTTGACTCAAAGGTATTGAGTAAAATTCCAAAAGGTCCGTTGAAAGAAAAGAAGAAGGATTAGAGTAATCAAGATAGTGTTAACTAGGTCCATGTTGCAATTTGAGCGATTAAAAGGTTTTAGTCCCCGTGGCGTATGCCTGTTTCCTATTAGGTTCCCTATTTCTGCTCTTTGCTTCAGAATTGTTTGGACGCACACAGTTTAGTTTAATATATATGGTACTTCGTTATAGTCATATTACTGTCTGTCTGAATTATTTCATGCTTTAATTACCTTTAGACGACGTTCACATTTTCTTGTCTTTCGGAACCATGTGATACCTTAATAGAAAAACGTGCAACTGAAAATTTGAAGGGCCCGGAGGAGCGGTAGAGCCTTGTTTTCTCGGTCCTTTTTTTTTTAATTGAATTTTTTTTCTCAATCACAGATATATCATGCAAAACTTGAATTATTTAGGCAATTATTAGGTTCTTGAATTTTTAATTTTGACAATGCGTCCTTGTATTCTTGGATTTCTTTGAAATCTTGGTTAAATTGTTGGCTGTTTCAAACTGTTGGAGTTTGACGGACTGCAATCGCGTTACCCTTTTATCCGAGCACAAGTTTAGATTTTCGGAATCAATCATGTTAATTATCCTTGATGAAATTATTTATGGCTTTCCTATACTGAGTCCATTACATTTTTTCGGGAAATTCGATCTCATTTCCAATTCACTACCTGGGTGCGGTTCCATATTTCTTTTCGACAATACGTTGCAAAGTCGTCAACTGAATGTGCTCTATACACACTGAAACCTTGCAAAATTTTCGAAAACTCAATATCGTTGTGGCTAATTGGTTCGTCAATTGAATGTGGTCTATACACACTGAAACCTTCGTCAAAAAAGGGAATTTGTTCTACTGGACCATTCTCAAGCAGCACATTAGTGGCGATCAGAATCTCAAGGGAGACTTTTGGATATTAACAATTCTTGCTACCCGCGACGACAAACAAAAAGAATTCCTTCCTACAAAACATTTTACTCGTTAATACCATTTTACTGATTTGCTTCTAAATGGAGTATTGGATTGTTAAAGCCAAAGATCAACTTGTAAATAGTTAAGTCTCGTTTATTTCACCGATTTGAATTTTATTACAGTAAAAAGCTTTCAGAAACAGTTACATTTTTTTTTTACTACAGTAAAAAGTTCTCACATAAAGTCACATCTTAACTCGAATCAACGAACTAAATGACCCTTAGATTAGCAATACTAATAGACTCCTATTTAAGCACTTGAGGTCACGAGATTCATCTATCATTCTAGAAACAATTCCTTAGGCTTCTGTTTTTTTTCTCAAAAGTTAATACGGATAGGCCCATAACCTAGACATTTGCAGTGAATCTTCTTCTGAATCACTCTCACTATCCGAAGATGATGTCGAAAATGAAGTTGAACCATCCAAAATGTATTCGACAACCTGAGAAAGAGGAAAATTACCTAATAAACATTAGGTTATCATTTACAAAAATAAAAATTAAAGGTCACTGCCACAAATAAAAAGTCAAGCTTCAAGCTTGATATTGTAAGACCATATACCTCGGAAGCTGTAACGGGCTTGACTTCAGAATGTGATCGACAATGTTCATTTGAACATTTCAAGTTATCAACCCAAACTATCGTTTTGCAGTTTTCACAGTATCCCCTGCTATATCTTAATTTTTTCGACAAAGTGCCTGTAATCCAAACACATGTGAATATGCCAATAAAACAGGAAAAAAAAAAAAAAAAGAAAAAGAAAAGAAAAACGCTACATTTGCAAGTGTAAATGCAATTTGGTCAAGTATGGATATATTATTTAAAGAAGACAGAAAATGTGTATCATATGAGATCAAAACTTTTATTCTAATTAATATAAACTGATGTAGCACGTAAGCTGTCATTGTGTTATTGATAGGTGTTTAAAAAATTAATTGACACACCCATTGATATTAAAAAGATGCACCTGCTAATAGATAAATGAAATCCGAAAATTAAGATAAAATTCTTGAATTCTAATCACTACTCTAAAGAAAATAAAGGATAATTATACCTCTACATTCTCTTTTGAAGGCCTCCTTCCAGTCAATGCTTGTTCCAATAACCACTTCTTCCCGTAATGAAACATATTCGTTACTTCCAATCTCTTTAGATCTTTGAGACCCACTAATCTTCAAATTATTATCAGAATTCCCAAAGAGCATAGCGTACTGTGCATGCCAAAGCTGGTTATCACTTGCCGCTAAATTCCACGACCTGAAAGTGAAGGGGGAGCAACCGAGTTAAAAAGACGATCAGCACAAATTTTCTGAGTACAGAAATTGTACAGTTTTTTTAATTCAATTATTATAAGTTCATAATTTTTGGGAATAAAAAAATTTAAAAGTGAATTAAACTCTATTACAAGCTCAATTCATTCGAAATAAAATGATACATGTAAGTAAAAAGAGAGATACATAGTTTTAAAATAGATCAAAAAAATTTCTACTTCCGCCACTCATGGTTTAGCTTATTATCGCATATCCAAAAAACCTAAAAATACAAGGAGAAACCAAAGAGTATCCCCACAAAAAAAAAGAAGGAAATAGTAATATGGACTTACCAGCATACTAGCTCAGCAGAAACTAAAGATTGCATATCAAGAAAACTGAAGACGTGCACAAGAATATCTTGTGGAAGATGGGCAGAACCTGAAACTGGGGACATAAATGGATTCATGAAATAATCTCATAGACCATCTGATTTATGGTCAATACAATACAATAGGACACAAAATCATTTTGCAGGGCTATAAAGAACTTACCTTTTTCTTCTTTGCGGGCTTTACAACGCCGCTTATGGGCAACCATTGCTTGCTTAAATTCCGCGACAACCAAATTCTTCTTCTGCTTTGGCAATGAGGCCTCGGCGCTTTGAAGGAGTACATGAGCTCCAGAAACTGCGCTGCGAGTCTGCATTCTAGAATTAAAATAAATAACCATAAGCATATCAACAACAACCTTATCATGTTCCATAGAAGCCAAACTTTTACAATTTTAAATAAAGTTGCAGTCATCCGGGAAAATTACGCAAATGTTCATTTTCTGGCCACTTCTTTAATAAATGGCCGAAATTTTTTTTCCTTTTAAGGGAAATATCCCTTTTTATATAGTAGTTAATCAGTGATAAACCATGATCATACTGTTTATCATCAATTTATCAATGATTTAGCCGGTAATTTGTTAATTCAAATTAAAGTAAAGTTAAATAAAAAAAAGGTCAAAACAGCCTTAAAATTGTTACTTGTCTCTATCGCAATTCCAATCAAATACACAGAGAGAGTGATATATTTCAATCGAAATTGCCATTTGGGTACAGAATTTACACAAATTTCAATCCAATTAAGAATCAAGAGAATACGCACCCAGGAAGGAGACGAAAGGCAGTGATAGTGTCTTGGACGATTAGGGCTTGTAAATTCTTGGGAAATTCGGTATAAGCGGCCCTGAGAATGAAGCCCAGCTCTTTACAGGCTAATGGGTATCGGTGGATTTTCACAAATGATTCTTTAAATCCAAGTTTTTGGTATCTCTCCACTGGGTTGGACATTGAGATCGATGGAAAAGATGAGAAGGATCAATGCCGGCTGGTAGAGAAAGGGAAAAATCTTGAGATTTTGGTCGTGGATTTGACTGCTTTAATTTTTTATGGGTTTGGTTGTGAAAGAATTGAGCTGGTCAGATAAAAGGAAGATAAAAGGCGACGGTGGCCGGAGATAAATGGGTAACGTGAAGAGGACGCCGTTGAAGTACATATTCAACGACAACCATTTAAAGAGAAAGTGGTTCCCAGAAAAAGAGAGAAAACGAGAGCTAACTAATGGGCAACAGCTTCACATAAAAATTATAAAAACGACAGAAATTTGAATATCAACTACAAAAAAATTCATTGTTGTTTTCATGTTGATATTGTTTTCAGGATGTTGTCGTTTATCATTTTAGTGTTGTTGTTGTTGTTTTTTTTTATTTCGTTTTTTTTTAGGGGATTTTTCTTTCGTTTTTATGTTATTGTCTTATACTTACCTTTAATTGTCTTTTTTTTATGTTTCGTTTATCACGTTTATAGTAATTTATCAGTTCATCGTCGTTTTCTAGGTTTTTAAGGCTTCTCTTGTTGTCGTTTACCAAGATGTCGTCGTTTTTCAAATTGACGCTGTTTCAACATATCATTGTCCTTTTTCTTATTCTCTTTGTTTTCAGTTATAGTTATATATATATATATATTATATATATATATTCTTTTAACATTGTTTGCGTCTCATGACTCTCTCTCTCTCGTCCTTTCACTGGTTTGTTCGTTTTTTATGTCGTTTGACATTTTTTTGTCCTTTTCAGTTACTGTCCTTTTTTAATGTTCATATTATCATTACTTTTAAGAGTGCATGTTATTAATTAATACCCCTTTATTAGTATAATTTAATTAAAAATATTATTAATTAAGAGAGAGTAAAAATTCTGATTTATGTAGTTTTTAAAGTATTTCTGTCTTTTTTCTGTTGAGAAACCTTGGAAAAAAGATATGAATTTCAACGACAGTAGCAATTATTTTGGTTTTTTTTTTTTTTTTTTTTTTCTTGACGTGAATAATAACAAGAAGAACGAAATTAGACGACAAGAAGTATGAAAAAGCATCATTTCTTTTTCTGGTACTGAAAAGCATCATTAAATTTTGAAAGGTACGACAAGGTGTAAAATGATGGAAACTCGAAAAAGAACATAAAACTTGACAACCAAAGTATAACACGATAGAGGCATCCAAAAAATGATAAACGACATGAAAAACGATCAACTTAAAAGACAGCAACTACACGAACATGAAAGAAATTTGAAAAGGTCAATAATGAGAAGAAAAAAAAAAGACATGTTAGTACATTTGAAAAACAACGCAGTTTTTTTTGTTTTTGTTTTTGTTTTTTATAATTATAGTGAGAAACGGCAACTTTGAAACTGATAACATATGAAAGTGATGAACATATTTAAAACGACAACACTAATGAAACAACATTAAAGCTAGAAAAGGAAATAAAAATCTTGAAAATAACGGCAACTTCGGTTTTTCAAAAGCAACGACAATGAAAAGGAAAACGACAGAAACTCAAAGAACCGCATAAATATTTAAAAAACAACAATACATAGACATATACACGGTAATAACTAAAAAACGACACTAAAATTCAAAACGACGACAATAACTAAAACGACATAAAAATGTAAGAACAAAGGCAACTTACGACGATAATTTTACAAGCAACAGAGACGGTCGAAGATGAGAACACTAAAAAAAAAAGACATATTATTACGATATCTTAAACTAAAGAAGTAATCGTTGCTGAGTAGGACAGCAGATTACCAAGAGAGAACTGATTGCCCTTTTATTATCGTCCCCTTCTTTCTCTTGTCTTGTTTATGAAAGTTCACTACTTCTGTTCATTGTTGCTATAATTGTTAATACCATTATTTTAATTTTTTCTTTTTGAAACAATGAAACTTCCTTGTAAGTGAAGGGTGATATTCTAATGTTTCAAGTAGTTCTTATATTTGGTATAGATACAGCTTTGACAAGCCAATTAATTTGTTTCCTTTACCCGGAGGAAGAAAGAAAACATATCACACAATAATAAATAAAGCAAACTGTAATAAAAATAGTATTAGGCAAATATTGTACTAATAAAATTACAGAACCAATGTACAAATACTATTCTACGAGGGTGTCTACCATTAATTAAACAAGTTCCTTGTAAGTTTCTCCTATTTCCCCAAAGCCCCACATCTATATATGCACTTCCATACACCAGAGACACTCACAGAACACTACTAAATCCTAAAAAAGGACTTTGCAACAATTGGTTTCTACTTCCTTAGCAAATCCCGACAGCCCTCTCTTAAGCCTGAAATGCCAGACAGGATTTTTCGACTTTTAATAAAATATTAATGCAAACTGACAAAGCTCTCTAATGGGGTTGGTTGGAACTTTTTGGTTCGAGGCTTGGCTATGGAAGATTTCCATGTAGTGATGCCATTAGAAAAAGGGAGTTTCTGATGGACTACTCTCCAAGCTTCCTCAAGACTTTTGACATTCTTTTCCAAGAAGAAAGGTGCCGATGATGAGTGGTGGTGTAGAATTCTCGTGCTTTATGAGATATATTAGAGGAAGTAAGTCAGTTGTTGCCTCTTCCTTGAGCCTCCCTCTCCGTACGATTCATTCCACTGCTTCAGCTCATTCATTATTGATCCCTCGGAAGCGAAACTTGCCGCTACCTGTGTTGCACCAGACATGTGTAATTAAACATCTTTACAATTTACAATGAATGGTAGAGGCGGTTTGAATAAGAACATGTAATACATTGTTTTAAATTGTCAGATCTTTATCCAGTTCTGTCAGTTTTGACGCTTTTTATTAATTATTTTGATGTAATTTGACCAAATTTAACGTTCAGAAACGTGCACTACTAGTAGGATATCTTACTGTGGAAAACTCTTTCATTTATTATCACCTAAAGGAGTTAGCCATATTAAAGATAGTCTTGGGTCACTCATTTTACCTGATTCTTTGCCTGTCTCATATCTTCCATGTTTAAGGCTCTGAGGGTAATGACTCGCTCCTCCTTATCTTCTTCTTTCTTGGATGAGGCACCTTCCGAGGAAGAGCCTTCAGAATCTTTCTTCTTCTTTTCCTGTATTAATGTCATTGTGCATTATTTAAAATGTGGAAACATGATAAAAGCAAGAATGGGATGAGATAGAGGAAGAGATTAAAAGATAGCAAGTACCATATCCTTCTCCCTCTCTTGTTGTAGTAGCTCCCTAACGGGTCGATAAGCAGCAGTCACACACAAGTTCTGTTTCAAGAAAATCTCATGAGCTGATCACATCTAATGATGAGCTGATCACATCTAATTATGATGTTAAGTTTCTAATTAGATCAATTAAGAAAGAAAAATACCTTAAGATCACTTCCAGTGTATCCTTCTGTCATTGTTGCAAGCTCTTTGAAGTCTAGATTCTCAACCTTTTCTTTTGAAAGAAGAGTTCTCAAGATCGTTTCCCTGTTCTCAACTGAGGGAAGACCAACCATGATTCTGCACAACACTCAAACAAAAAAGGAAAAGAAAAGGGGGATAAGTTAAACTTAACTGTTAAGCTCTTGCACGCAAGTGTGACAGAGATGTGATGATGAATTTGCTGATCAATACCTGCGCTCAAACCGCCTAATGATTGCTTCATCAAGGTCAAAGGGCCTGTTAGTGGCAGCAAGAACAAGAATCCTCTCTCCAGGTTTGGTCAAGAGGCCATCCCAGTGTGTCATGAACTCGTTCTTGATCTTCCTCATGGCCTCATGCTCCCCAACTCTAGTTCTTTGCCCGAGCATGCTGTCGACTTCATCCACGAATATGATGGTAGGTGAGACCTTGGCTGCAAGGCTGAAAAGTGCTCGAACGTTCTTCTCATCCTCTCCGAACCATTTCGAAGTGATGGTAGACATTGAGACGTTGATGAAACTTGCACCAGCTTCATTGGCAATTGCCTTTGCCAGCATTGTTTTACCTGTGCCAGGAGGTCCAAAGAGCAATATGCCTCTACAAGGCTTGAGAAGGCCACCTTTGAAGAGGTCGGGTCTTCGAAGTGGAAGCATTACCAACTCCTGAAGTGATTCTTTGATCTCATCCAAGGCTCCAATATCTGCAAATGTCACGCCAATCTCACTTGCTGGTATAACCTCTGGCCTTATGCGCTTCTCAAACTCATTGTCCGGTGGAACTTCCTGAAGAACACCATGAAACAAGACAAAGAATTATGTGAAAACTTGAGAGAGAATCTTATGTCATCTTTGATTATATACATCTTTACAATTTTTCTGCTCTTACTTTCGCTGGAGGTGCATTCTCACTATCCTTCTTCCCTGATGAAACAGATTTCTCTGCCTCATTTTTGTTTTCAGGGCCTTGACTTTCGCACTTTGATTCTGTCTTTGCACCAACGGCCTCGCCTTCACCATCCTAAATTATGAAGAAAACATGGATGAATAAAAATAAATCACAGATTCAGAACTAGTTTCACCATAATTAACTATAGCAGAGACAAGAAAAAGGACCTTTGAGGATTCTGCATTTTTCTCAAGCTTCAAACTATCTTTCTCGCCACTTTTTCCCTCCTGGAATATACTCAATCCATGCGACAGACTGTTCCAAAATCCAGAATAATAGTCAAATGCAAAACCCTTTCCTTTTTCGCAAGAACATATAATTACAATAAATCTAAAGAGAGAAATCATGAGCACAAGAAAACCATTGTTATCTACCTCTTTGAAGAAATGACAAGCTTTCCATTGCGATACTCGGGGTCTCTGTTATGCATCAAATGATAAGAAATTGCTGTCACTACAATTTCTTCAATGTAGTTGCTGAGAACCATTGTGTCTGCGTGACAGATTGAAGCCAAATCATCGCACTCGAGATCATTCGCAGCGAGGACCTCAGCTATGTGGTTTTTGTTGTCTTGAAATTGGATCATCTTCATGTCCTCTTCTAGTTGAGCTTTCCAGCTGACCAGATGAGTCTCATCTTCTGGTGGTTTGATCTCAACGTTGTATGGGAACAACACGGAAAGCCTCTCATCGACCTCTCTACAATAATTGTCTTCTGTGTCCAACATCTGGGAACCGAGTATCAACACTGACCCTGAGAGTTTCTTCAACATTTTCTGCAACAAATTGTAAAACCTTTGCGATTGGAGTAGCAGCTTCTCAATGTCCCTGATGTACAATATAATCGAACGAGTTTCTGATTTTGAAGCCACGACCTGAACGAAAACACCAACACTTTATCTTGTTAAAACAAATTTGTAGTTTAGGAAAAGTAATAATGCATCTAACTAATACTGATTTAACTAACTACCAGAAGAGAAGTCTGCTATAAAGCATGGGTTTTGAGACACTTCTTCTATTAAAAAGATAAGGAAATCCATAAGCCTGAGCTTGATAGTTACATCTACAATAACATCTCCAGATATAAAAGTGTCACCAAAACAAGATTAAACATGAATAAAATGGGATTAAAGTTAAAACAAGAAACTTAAATTGTTATGATAATTACCGTGTAAAGTGACTGTATAAAGTCTTTCTCATCAAAACACCAGCTGCTCGCGTGCTTCAAAGAAGCTGCAAAAATAAACAACATCGCCGAGAATGATTAACACGTTTTTTTTAATCAGTTTTCTCACATCTTTTCTAACAACTAACATAGCCCTCTATTTGCATAACATAGAATTTCCTCAATTTTAGTGAAACTGAAACTTGGGTTGCCTACTTTCACATTATTGACGGATAGCAGCAATGTAGAAAAAGAAAGTTCTGAAGTACCTGAGTTTGTTGGGGCATATTTGGAAGCCATTACACCCATATCAGAGGAACTAGCGTCCCCAGTTTTATTATTTCTTTTCACACCTCTAGTGTCCCCACTTGAAGGAAGGATTGAAAAGGAGCCAAACAAATTGGACACTCGCTCCATTGCCACCTCCGAGATAGATCGATTAAGAGACTAGCAAATAGAACATTGAATTAGGAGCAATGATATGGCAAATTTTTTTTTTTTGAATTTGCACAAAGTATGTCAAGTAACATGGTTAATATTCATCATCTATCAACAAGAAAATATGTTGATTAAGAATTCAGCATATATAAGAAAACATGCATAGTTTCTATGTACGGAAAGCAATAAAAAAAAAAAAAAAGCTTACTGCTTCTCTTTTGGCACAACCATACTTGCTCTGCATCTGTGAAGAATTAAAAATGATAAAAGTATAAGTATTACTGTAAGAACAGTCTTATTCAAGATAGAATAAAGTAGTACAAGTAGTAACCATAGTTACCTTTAGAGAGAAGGCGTTAACATCCAACAAAAGCAGCTTTGATTTGAAGTGATGTGCTAAGGCTTTGGCAAGCATTTGATGGTATAGTTCTTCAACAAACAACAAACCATAGTTAGTTCAGACTTCAAATGATTTTCTTTGGGGGTGCCAAAATCAGTTATTCATGTGTGTGTGTATATACATATATATATTGTGATATATATATATATATATATATATATATATTTATATACCAGCTGGTCCTGAGAGCAAAATAGCTCTACTTGCAGGTGAAAGGTTCCTGGTGTGCTTGGAAAATTCCGAGTGCCTCAGATGAACATGTGCGGCACTTGTCAATAACACCCTAGTTTTCTCACTGCCATTTCCATCATTAGAAGGAAAAGAAAAAAAAGAGAAGAAGAGAGAGAGAACTTTAGTGTGTAAAATTAACAAATTCATGATTTGAAAGAATTATATGAGAAGGGACATAGCAGTACTTTTGAGTTTCTTTGGAAAGCTTGTTACGGTAAAGAGACTTGGCATAACAAGTTTCTCTGTTAACTACAAGGACAAACTTTTTAATAAACTGAACTTAGAATCTAAAACACATGGAAATGATATAAGAGGATGTAAACAGGATTAATTAGATAAAGCAAAATTAAGTACTGGAAGAGACCAATGAAATCTCTCATAAGCCAGAAATGATTATTCTTTAACCATTAAAAGCCTATAAGATAGAGTTGTAGGAAAAAGGAGAAACGTTAGAAACCTCTGAAAGACTTGCCTTTTCACTAATGTCAATCAAGAGAGAGAGAGTCATCAAAACAAAACCATTTTTTTTTTTTTTTTTGCCTCTTGACTTATTCCAGAATTCACAAAAAGTCTTGTACAAGTTCTTCTTCTATACGCTCATAGGATATATATTGACTTGTTAACTGTGAACTTTTAGTCCTCAAAATTTGCCACTCTGTTCACCAACTCAATGAAAAACTTAATGGGTTGAAAAAAAAGAATACGAAAAGAAGAGAATCTAAAAGCAGAATGATAGTGAACACATAAGGCTTGGGATTGACAAGGAGAATAGATCCCTTAAATTCCTTAAAAACTCTTAAAATATGCTTTGGCCCATAACAGATTCATGAGAAAAGTTTTACCCAGAAAAGAAAAAAAAAGTTCAAAAATGGCATTCTTCATTTCCAATAATTAAAAACATGAAATGAAATCTTGAAATTACCTCAAATAATAAGGGAAGTCATCAAATGTGACCTTGCTTTCTCTGCCATCAAGGACTAGCCTGATCAACTCATGCTCAATCTGGTCAGCAGAAACCAAATCAGAGGAGGAGCTATTTCCTTTGACCCATTTGCCCACTGACTGCCCTGAGCTCAACAGCCCAACTCCAACCCCAACTCCAACACTCAAAGCTGACAACAAAACGTGTTTCTGTTCCATTTATCCTTAATCAAACCGATCAAAGATCAAACTCAAACACCAGTTTTTTCGTTCTTTTTTAAAAAAAAAAAAAAACTTGTTCGTACAAGTACTGATACTGGACTTTGGAATCAGCGAAGAAGCAGGAGATTCAACGATGAAAAAACGGAGCAAAGATTGAGCTTTGAGAGAATCAAGGAAAATTGGTTGGTGGGTTTTTTGGTTTTTGTGTTTATTTGTTTATATATATTTTTTTCAAAGGAAAGATGAAAAAGAGAGTTTCAGTGTAATACGTTCACCGAGAGCTGGTTATACAACGTTGGTACGAGTTTACCATTGTGCTCTTGACCCCTCTCCGATTATTTATAGCATGCTATATTACTTATGCACGTTAAATGCCTTCCCAGAAAAGTAACTAAAAATTAAAAAAATATTTATTTATTTTTTATATAAAGAAAAATTTTGGATTTGAATAATAAAGAACGCAGTTTTATCTTTTTTTTTTAAATACGATAATTTAAAAGATTTAATAAAAACCTAACATATTATAGGTTCACAATTCGCATTTTCAAATAAATTGGGATGACGAATTCGAATTCCATACTTAATATTGAAGATAAAGATGTTGATTTATCACTGGATTATATATGAAAGATCTGATCGTATCTTCTTAATTTTTACTGTTATGATTATTTTTTATAACCTAATAAATAATAGTCGTTTACTTCGTAGATCACACTCGAATAAGTCCAAGTCCAGTGTGAAATTGAGCCTAGTTATGCGTTTACTAGACGCAACTTAAATTTCAAACTCGAGTTCGTGAGTTTCACTCACCCCTTATTTTTCCATTACTCAAGTTTGATTTTACAGTGCGGATTGTCTCTGCAGAAAAGGACACTTCTTTGTAATTGGTGTTTGGTTTTAGTACAAGTGAACACAAAATTTAAGTTTTAAATGTCAAATTAATCTCCTCCTAAACACTTAACTCAAAGTCTAAACTAAACTTAAATTTTTTACAACTCAAATTCACTTTCTTAACTCGAATAAATAAATTTAACGCGCCAAATATATATTTTTAATTCTTTGCTAAGCGTTTTTTGACTGATAACATTGCAGCTGGTTACGGTGAAATTTGTAAAGGTTTTTGTTTCTTTCTTTCCTTTTTATCTTCTCTTCTTACCCGTCTTTAGATTTTAAAATTATTATTTGCGTACTTTTTGAATTTTTTAAATCAGGAAAAAAAACAGCTAGGTCAGGATTATTATTTTTGTTCGCTTCAAATTCCTGATTTGGTTGGCTTGGCATGGTTCATGCAGTTATTTCCAAAAATATCAAATTGGCCCTTGGAAATATCAAAATGCCATAAAAACCTTGGACTCCCTTTAATTTTCCCCTCCTCTTTCTGTAATTACACAATTCTTCACTATTTCCATTTGGAGTAGGTCACATGAGTTTCAATTCATATTTATATAATATTTTTCATTGTTACGGGCATGAATTCTAGTTTGTAATTTAGAGGATATTGTGATCAGCAAAATATATATATATATATATATATAATGCTTTCTAGGTCTGAGTTGTGTTTGGTTTTGGCTTTTCAACTAATATTTTTCATTTTTTTTTATTTTAATACATTTCTTTTGTCATATACAACTCGACTTTGATGAGCCATGTCTCCCAGATCTGATTGTTATTCCATTTCTACCAAAAAAAAAAGAAAAAAAGGAATTGTTATTCCATACAACAATTAAAATAGTAGCACATGATTTATTTGGATCAAATTATTATATTACACATTTTCTTCTCAAATTAAACAGCCATATTTTTCAGGTATGAACTTGAGACCTTGTCAAGGCACTGCAAAATTAATGTTTTATGCTTCGAAATATTCCTCGGAAGTTTGTATAGTCTATCCCACCAAGAGGTAACTCTTTATTTATTTATTTATTTGCTTGTTTTATTTATAAGTTATTTATTTTGATGGGAAGGTAATTCTTTATTTGATGTCCACGGTAAGGAGCTAGCGCATGATTAATATATACATATATATATATATATAGAAGAAATTATATGGTGACTCTATTAAGAAAATGACTAATATATATGGTCACCAAATATTTATCTCCCTTCACACTCTTGAGTATGAATTATTTTATTTCCAATAAGACATATTTGATATGATCTTTCACATATTTAATTCTTTTCTTCTTTTTTTTTTTCTTCTTTTTTTTTCTTCTTTTTTTTTTTTAACTTCTCTGTGGTTAATTTTGTTGTATTATAATACTTTAGGGTTATTGCTTTTAGCGATCACATGGTGGCGGACTCAAAAAGGCAAATATTTTGCACGCCTCTTCTTCTTCTTCTTCTCTCTCTCTCTCTCTCTCTCTCTCTCTCTCTCTCTCTCGCTAAGAAACTAAAAGGGGGCGGCTATACACCTCGAGTCCACGGTGGATTGACGCCGTAAGCATCTAAAGTCTTTGAGTCCACGGTGGATTGACGCTGTAAGCATCTAAAGTCTTTGATTGGGACCGTGAAACTTACTTGGAAACTTTAATTTTCACACATCTTTTGATTGGGGACCATGAAACTTACTTGGAAACTTTTATTTTCACACGTCTTTTGGTTATTTTGGTTAGAAAGACAAAGACAAAGAAAATGTCTCCCTTTATTGGTGTGTGTGTGTAGAAAGAGAAAGAAAATGCTTTTCTTTCTCATATACAAAAAAAAAAGAACGCTTAGCAACCAAGCTTTTGAAGAAGACTTTTGCCGAAGAAACTATGAAATATGAACCCTCTTATTTTATAAGAACATGCTTTTGAAGGACAAGATCCCTATTTAAAATAATAAAAATCAAACATATGCAAATTGAAAAGCTTATTTGAGAAATATATAAGGAAACTTAATATGACATGGTGTTTGGTCTTATCAATAGATTGAGTTTTTCTTGATCATTTTAAATTTTAACGGTTATATTTATAGTGTTCATGTCAAATAATGCATCTATTAATACTATTATATAAAAAATGCTCTCTCATATACTACTATTATATAGTAAGGCACCTTGCGTAGAATTCAATGCTTTTGTAACTTGATCCATGATCTTGAATGCAATTTACAACTTTCTTTACGTTTAATTCATCTACATTATGTTTAATTATTTATGGAAACCTTTTAAATTCATTTTATAAAACGATCAAATCGTTGGGATCAATACATAAGGTACTAACTTGCTTTCTAACATGGAGTATGATATTAAGTGTCATGATTCATGAATTATCATCATGTATATTAGTAATGAAGTGATATTGATATGATGATTAAAGGTCATTCTCGCTTTTATAACAAAAAGAAATATGATTCTAACAGTTCAGATTTTGGAGAAAAAAGATTTAAATTCTAATATAGTACTAGAGAAGAAAAGTTATATATATATATATATATATATATATTGAGTTCAGACCATTCTTTTCACACTCGCCGTCCTTCCTAAGCATAGCCTGTCCAATTGTTTCTTCAGCCATTAAATTGTTGCCAAGAAAACACTACTAGGAAATTACTAACAATTTTCAACTTGATCCTAGACAAAACCGTGTCCCACAAGCATGCACAAACTTTTGTCTACTATACTCAAGCCAATACGTAGGAATTATTTATTGATTTGGACTAGTGGAAAATGGATAATAAGGAAGGACTCAAATTCAAAGGAAAACTTTTTCCTTTTCCATTCCCCTCATTCTTTTTGTGTTTTATCTTGTTTTATTTTATTTTATTATTATTATTTTTTTTCATGTGATGGGCAAGCAAGGATGATCTCTAACATGAAGTACCAATTACAAAACAAAAATTAATGAAAGAATTTCTTTTTTCTTTGGCAAAGTAAGATGAAAGGCGGAGACAGTAAAAGACACCGTAAAAGTTGTAGCTTTTGGACTTCAAAAACAGTTGCTCAAAAGATGGTCATTTAAAGGGCAAAAGGGTGAGCAGTGAGAGAGCTTATCAACTTATCAAAGTGGCATAATTATAAGAGAATCTCTTCAAACAAATTGGGATTTTAGCAAAAATAAATAAAAATAAATAAATATATGTGAGAGAGCAACGAGATTCCTTAGAGCTAATTTCCCACGCTTCTCCCTTTGTCCATAAGGCCCGTTTCCACCTCAGCATCACATGCGTTGCTTCAAAAACTTTTTGCAACATTTTTGATTTGTGGGTTACACGCAATGCCACTATCCTTTTCACCACTTTTTTTCAAGTCACACCACACTTGAGTGTTAAAAAAGCTTCCCTCAAAGGCCAAATTAAATTGTAGAAAAAAAGAGAAGAGAAAATAAAATAAGTCTTACAAAATAAACATATAAATACAAAAGGTTTTTTAAAAAAAATTCTGAAGCACTTATAGAGTGGTCCTAGTCAAAACGACATCCTATGATCACACAAATATTTTTTTAATCATTCATGTCTTAACTTTTCTTTATTGTATATATTTTTTTATTAGCCAGTTAAAAGGCCACCCTCTACTTTTCTCTTTAGTCTTACCAAATTTTATAGATGGCAAGATCTAAATATAAGGCTCTTCCATCAATAAATATATATATATATATATATATAAGTGTAACGTGACAATTATTGAATGTAAAATTGCCGTTGGAGAGAAGGAATATAATTTTTAGATGAATAAATTCTTTTACTATTATTTCTTTCTAATGTCAATGTTACGTTCAACAATTATCATATTACATTTTCATAACTACACGTTATGTTTGAGGGACGAAAAAAAAGTCTTATATATATGGTTCTTGAATTTGATATCAAACGTACAGAGATTACCAACTAACTCTCTCTCTCTCTATCTGTCTTTTTATTCTTTTTTTTTTCCTTTTGTTTCAATGATTAACCATGTTGTTCCATTTACCCCTTGTTCCTTGTACATAAATGCTTACATTTTGCCACAAAATTTCAGATATTTTTCTTTGTGTGTGTGTGTGTGTATTATATGCGCGTGTCATGTCTCAATAATTTGCATGCCCAATTGTCAATATACACGACACTTACCGAACTTCTCTCTATGATTGTGGTGGAGAATTCTTCATATATTGATGCTCAAATTATTACATGTTATAATGGATATCATTGTTCTTGTCCTCATTAAGGCAGCATATACTACATACTATGCAAAATCCTGCTGACTATATATATATATATATATATATATATATGCGACATTTTATGAACTGTACCAATATATACCATAATCGATCCTTACCTCAAATAAAACTTTATTAACATCCGACCGGCTGATATTTTTGCATTGATCACA